AGTAGGTCTGTCTTGGCTGAAGAGGCTAGCTGCAGCAGACGGGTAAGGCTCTTAGCTCTGATCTCTTGGCTTTCTTCTTTGCATTGGTTCTGTGTTTCTTATTTATTAAGACGGTTGGTTACATCGACAGACAGGCAATGGTATTATTTTGGTTTTATAGTTGAGAAAATGATTAGAAAGTGTAGGCAATCTTTCCAGGACATTTAGTAGGTGTGGGATTTGAACCCAGAAATGCCAGAATTCCGAGTTGTGTGTCTAGTTTAAGCTAACTCTCTGCAGATTTGTAATAGCTGAACAAATAATCACCCACTATGAATCCAGTCACCTTGATCTATTTTAGACTAATTCTAAATACCATGCCAGTTTGAAAGAACAAATTAGTACCCATAGCTATAAATATTCCTCTTAAAATTACACCATAATTTCCTTTTTATGGCCTCTTCCCCTTCCCCCACCAAACTCCAGGACTAAATTGTCCCTCCATGTGGCCTTTATTGCAGAATACTTGAGAAGAATTAGAGGTGGATGGGAGTTAAAAAGTTAGAAAGCGTGGTCATTGCGTTTGAGTGGAGAATAGCAATATTGGTTCATAATAACTCATAGATGGATGCAGTTGAGAGCCACAGTGTTCTAGGTTCTCAGGAAATCTATCTTGGGAGTTTGAAAGAAACCTGAAGGAAACTAAATTAATAGCTTGTCATGGGACAACTGGTTTACATTTCCCCTCAGTTTAAGTCACAGCTTTAAAAGCTGTAACATTTTTTATTCAATTACAGGATATCACTTATTTTCATAACCATACATTTATATACATATATTACTTAGAAATACATTTTTATGATGTTAGTTTTTTTAAATATTCAAAATTAGAACTTCAAATACTTGGGAACTAAAAATCAATAAAATTTAACAGCCTGATACATACAATCTCTTAACACAGCCACAGAGCACAGATCAATCTGAGTGGTCATATAAAAGATAACTTTTTGATAACTACAATTGTTTTGATAGCTGTAGAATTGTTTTCCATTAAATAATGAAAATCTGAGGTCTGAGGACTGACATTTTTTTCTCTCAATTGTTTTTTCTAGCACTTACAACCTAGAAAAATACTTCCTTTCTCTCAAATCCCATAGGCTCCCATTGTCAAATCCTATCCACATTATAAATGGCTGAAGTATGTGTGTAATCATTATGACCCTGCTGTCCCTAAGGCCTTTCAAGACACTGTCAGTACAGAGCACTTCGCTGGGCTCATGTCATAGGTTACTCCACGTAGCTGTAAGCATGGCCCCAGCCACACGAATCAAGGCTGCTTCACATTATTTTCCGAATGTATTAGCAATATAATAATGTCAGAATTTTAAAGTGTTCATGTCTGAGGATGAGTAACATAATCTTACAAATAAATTGAATCTAGTAAGAAATGATTAAAATTTAATCTGTAACTACAAAAACAAAACAAAACAAAAATGAAAACACCAGGCTATAATAAGAATAAGTTAGCGAAATTAAAGCAATTCAATTGTAGGCATCAAAAGACAATGTATGTAAAGTTAGAGTGAAACATACATTTTATGCTTTAATTATAAAGTATGTCATTCAAAAATCAATCTCACTTTTCAAATTAGTAAAAATAAAAACTGATTTCTTTTTAAATTGCCATGTAACTAATCCATGAATAAAATTACTTTAAATTTTTTTTTTTTTTTTTTTTTTTTTTGGTTTTTCGAGACAGGGTTTCTCTGTGTAGCTTTGCGCCTCTCCTGGAACTCACTTGGTAGCCCAGGCTGGCCTCGAACTCACAGAGATCCGCCTGGCTCTGCCTCCCGAGTGCTGGGATTAAAGGCATGCGCCACCACTGCCCGGCCTACTTTAAAATTTTTAATTTTATTTATTTGTTTTGTGAACGTATGTGGGGGTGGGGATGTTTGAGCCATGACACACATGTGGTGGGGGTTCAGGGGACAATGTGCAGGAAGCAGTTCTCTCCTCCCACCACGTATGTTCGGGGCATCCAACTCGGCATCAGGCTTGGTGGACAGCATCTTAACTGGCTAAGTAATCTTGCCAGCCTGGGAACTGCTAGTCTTGATTCATACCTCATATGAATACAGAGGGAAATTTGAAAACAAAGGCCGTTTTACACAGTTACACTAAGACAAAGGACCATGAGCGCCACCCCCCCCATTTTTTTTTTTTTTTTTTTTTAATAATCAGGCATCTTGGTTATGTTGACAACATTCAAATTTGCATCCCCGAGCAGATCTCCTTTTGCATCCCCAGATTCAGACAGCTTGCTGTTTACATCTCAGGGTTCCTTTTAGAGCGCTTGTGGGAACAACCAATTCAGCATGCCTAGATGATTCTGTGTTCCTGAATCTTACTCCTGCTGGTGTGTCTGGTAGTGTGGCCAGGCAAACAGGACCTCCAGCTGCTGGAACAGCAGCAGGGCAGGTTCTGGATTGCTTCTCCCCTCCCTTCAAGACCACTCAACTCTCAAGCCTGTGTCTTCCACCTGCCCAGCACTCTCACACTCATTCTGTTCCTCCTGACCCCCTGTCTGCTTCCTGTGGCCTCTGCTCTCCTCTCCTGTCCATTACCATCCTGACACTTGTCCTTAGGTCATGCTGAACTGTGGTGATATTGTGTTCCCCAAAATATCGTGCACCCTAATAAATTTATCTGAGGTCAGAGAACAGAATAGCCACTAGACAAACATAGAGGCCAGAAAATGGTGGCACTCATGCCTTTTTTTTTTTTTTTTTGGTTTTTCGAGACAGGGTTTCTCTGTGTAGCTTTGCGCCTTTCCTGGAACTCACTTGGTAGCCCAGGCTGGCCTCGAACTCACAGAGATCCGCCTGGCTCTGCCTCCCGAGTGCTGGGATTAAAGGCGTGCGCCACCACCGCCCGGCGCACTCATGCCTTTAATCCTAGCATTCCAGAGGCAGAGATCTGCCTGGATCTCTGTGAGTTCAAGGCCACACTGGAAACAGCCAGGCATAGAAACAAGAGCCTTTAATCCCAGGAAATGATGGCAGAAAGGTATTTAAGGCATGAGGACCAGGAACTAGAGCTGGTTAAGCTTTTAGGCTTTTAGCAGCAGTTCAGCTGAGATTCATTCTGGATGAGGACTCAGAGGCTTCCAGTCTGAGGAAACAGGTTCAGCTGAGGAATTGGCAAGGTAAGGTGGCTGTGGCTTGTTCTGCTTCTCTGATCTTCCAGCATTCACCCCAATAACTGGCCTCAGGTTTGATTTTATTAATAAGACCTGTTAAGATTCATGCTACACTGAACTGTGCTGAGTTCCATGTGGAGCAAGGTTCTTTGTTTTGTTGTTGTTGTTGTTTTTTGTTTTGGTGGGTGGGTGTTTTTGTCTATGTTGCTCCCTTGGCCTAGAGTGCACATTGTGGTTCACCATTTATCTGTCTTCAGTAGCCTCTCAGGGACACGTTCACATCATTTTCTCTTTCCCTAAATCACCCATCTTTATTCTTCCATTGCTCCACAACTTTTCCCTTTATCATGCAATTTAAATGTCCTTCCCATATCCATATTACTACTGAATTGTTAGCCAGGACCAAAGAACCTGGTGCTGACTTTCATAAATATAAATGAATGAACATTTCATCCATCAGAATCCCCAACTTTTAGTTTTCTTTTTGCCACATTCTGAAAAAAGCTCCTCAATTTGAGTTTTGAGGAGAGAATTCGCATAAGCTCTCCCGATCACCGTTAGCTGCAGTTTAGACAGTTTGCAAGGATCAGCTTTCTCCTCCCACTACCTGAGTCCAGGGCAAGCACCCCATGAGTGAATCTTCATTTTTCACTCCAGGCTACCCCTAAGGACTTGTAGTGCTCTCTGTTGCATCCCAAGAGGCTCGGGGTTAGATATTCAGTCACACATTTAATTAGGGAAAATATTAGCCAGTGCTAGGCTGAGTCATACTTGGAGAACATTCTCCCACATCGCTTCCCCAAGTGGAGAGGTTGTGGTCTGACGTGGTCTTTTGTCACAGTTGGCTTCTTATCTGAATTTTCACTGTGGGCTTCTGGTGTCTTCTCTTGGCCACCTCATAACTGGCCTGGGCTTTGGCTTCCCGCCAGTGTCCTCACCCTCCTTGTTTGGAGCTCATGGGCCTGGTGCTTGTCTGGTCTTGATCCTGGCAAGCTCAAGGCAGGGTATGTAGCTGCCATGGTCACCAGCTGCAGCTGAGCACTCCCTCTCACTTTCCCATTCTGCCTCACATCCACAGCCACGTGACTGCCACAGCACCCTAAAAAGGAAGGCACCTGTCTGTCACCTTCAAAGCCTTTCAGAGTGAGTTGTATTTTTTTGTTTATTTTATTTTATTTTATTTTATTTTGAGACAGGGTCATGAGCTTCAGATTGGCTGAGGAAGACTTGGGTTTCCAGTCTTCCTGTCTCCACTTCCCTAGTGCTGGGATTCCAGGTGTGTTTTGAGGGTTGCAAATTGAATAACCTCATTTCTCTTAACTGATACTTCTCTGTCTCACCTACTGGACAGTGTGTTATAAATGTCAGGATTCACAACAACTGTGTGTTATATGTGTGTATGTTTTACATAATCACTTTTCAGAGCCTTAGTTCCTTTTGGGAAATGATAATTATTTAGGATTTTCTGTTCCTCTTACCTAGTTCCAAGATGCTGTCAGGACTTCGTGTGGGTGGATGAGCAACGTGGTAAAAAGAGCGGCTTTCTGACTTTCAATTGTAGGGTGGTCCTGAGGGGCCCACAGAGGGCTTGGAAGTCGGATGCCTGGGTGGTCCTTGGGCTTGTGAGTGCTGGTGAGTCCTTTGTACCCACCACTTGTCCACTTGCCTGTGTGTGCCTCGTCTCCGGACTCTGGTAGCCCGGTGGTCCTTTCAAGGTTCTTTCTTTAACCACCAAGAGCTACACACGCTAAAGAGGCAGGAGCACAGATGTATTGTTCTAGGTAACTGTCTTCTCACCTCATGTCTCCCCCTGTTGTTCCAGAGGGAAGAAGAGTCCATCCATCAGCTTTGAGTGTTCCACAGTGCAGCTGCTGCACTACACGTTCGGCAGGGCTTCGACCTGGGAGAGAGGGTTGAGAGCGGACTCATCTTCTCCCTCCATTCCTCTTCTCTGCTCAGAAGCTTGCCTGGGCTCAGGTGGGCTGACGTCTCTCTATTCTCTCTGTTCTTTCCAAGCCGCAAGGTCTTTCCTCAGATCTTATCCTCAAGTCTCTCCTTGCCTGAAACTTGGCAGTTTCCATGAATAAAGTCAACACGGGCTAAAAAAATATTCAGCAAATTGTTGAGTCTTTTGATAGGTCTGAATTTCAGGATATGAGAGTAGGAAGCAGACTTACTATACCTGCTTTGAGTACTGAAATTTGAATACTGAAGTTTTATTTGTTTTTGTAGTCTAGATTTATTATAACCCCACTGTCTTGGGGAGAATGCATGAAAGCCACACATTAAGAAATGTAAAGGGAAAACTCATTGGTATATGACAAAATGTTCCCCTTAAAGTATTGAATTGAAAAAAACCACATTAACAAATTTCACTTATTTGAACTTATTTTTTAATAGTGAAGTCAGTATGAATTAGCAAAATGTTTATCATTAAAGAAAAAATTAAGTAAGTAGAAAAATGTAAAATATTAAATATAAGAAAGGAGTGCCTATTATTGAACTTTGGAGGGGTTAAGCTGCATGTATTTTATAGAGATCATTGTCCATTTTACAAATATGTTGACATACATAAAAGTTACAGACATATTACATATATATATATTAATTGTTTTACATATAGGAGTCAATTTCCCAACTGATTTTACAGAGGAGAAAATAACACACAGATTTATGGATTGTCAGATGTCAAATATTTGTTGTTTGTCTAGGTTTTCCTGATGCTAGAATGAATGAATAACTTTCACAAAAACCCTTCTTACATAGAATGAGTTCAGAGTTCTAATAAGCAACAGTGTGAGGACTATAGTTAGTGATAGTTGTGTCTAGTATGAAGATTTATTTTTTGCTAAGTGAGTAGACATGGCTTGTACCAGGCTTTGTTTTGTTTTGTTTTGTTTTGTTGTTTAGGCCACCAACCAGCTCCTAAATCATGACACAGAGACTTCTTATTAGTTATGAATGCTTGGCCATGTCTTAGCTCTTACTTTAATCTGTTTCTCTTTATCTATGTTTTGCCTCGGGACATTTTACCCTTTTTTCTGTATATTTTACTCTCCTACTGTCTCTATGTCTGTCTGTCTGTCAGCTGCCTGGCTTCTGGCCCCAGGCATGTCCTCCTCTTTCTCATCTTTCTCCTCTCCTACTTCTCTCAAGCCTAGAGTTCTCCTCCTATTTACTCTCTTTGCCTGCCAGCCCTGCCTATCCCTTTCCTGCCTAGCTGTTGGCTGTTCAGCTCTTTAATAGACGAATCAGGTGCCTTAGGCAGACAAAGTGAAACAAGTGCAACACATCTTTACATAATTAAACACACATCCTTACATTGTTAAATAAATGCAGGATAAACAAAAGCAATACATCCTTACACAGTTAAAGTAATATTACATAGCACAAACAAATGTAGCACGTCTTTACATAGTTAAATATTCTACAACAGTAGCTGCTCTTGCCACAGGTGTGTGGGATAGTGATTGTACAACTATTTGAGATGGTGGATATGTTAATTTTTCACAGTAGTAACTATTTTGCTACATATGTGTTTTATAACATCATGTTGTGTATCTTAAATACAAACAATATAGGATTCATTGTAGGCGGAAGTAAGTTTCTCTCCTGCCTGCCTATTCCCAAATACCCAGCAGCTGCTTCCAAAATAATTGACTCAGAGGCTTAATATTAATTGTAATTGTTTGGCCAATGGCTCAGGCTTATTATTGGCTAGCGCTTTCACTTACATTAACCCATAATTCTTATCTATGTTTAGCCACATGGCTTCGTAACTTTTCTTAAAATGACATTCTCATCTTGCTTCCTCTGTGTCTCCCTGGCAACTCCTGACTCCGCCCTTCCTCTTCCCAGCATTCTCCTAGTCTGCTTGCCCTGCCTATACTTCCTGCCTGGCTACTGGCCAATCAATGCTTTATTAAGCCAATTTGAGTAACAAATCTTTACAGTGTACAAGGACATTATCCCACAGCAATCCATTAAAAAAAATAAAATCCATCTTTAAACATAAATTGTATGGGGCTGGAGAAATGGCTCAGAGGTTAGAAGCACTGGCTGTTCTTCCAGAGGTCCTGAGTTCAAATCCCAGCAACCACATGGTGGCTCACAACCATCTGTAATGAGATCTTGTGCTCTCTTCTGGTCTGCAGGGATACATGCAGACAGAACACTGTATATATAACAAATAAATCTTTAAAATAAATAAAATTTAAAAGAAATAAAATAATAAATAAATTTAAATAAATAATAAATAAAATTTAAAATAAATAAAAATAAACAAAAAAATAAATAAATTGTATGAAGACCCCTTTACTAATAAATGAAAGACTGAAATTAGTATATTTTATATAGAAATGACCTGACAATCCTTGAAAACATTTTCTTTTATTCTTCTAGCATGGAAGTTTCCACTGTTTATTTTCTTTAGATTTCATAAGTGTTGTAATGAAAAGAGTGGTTACTGGATTTGCCTACCTATTCATAAAATCCACTTTAGAAGGATTTGCCTTTATGCATTTTACTGTATGATTTCACAAATTAAACATAATGATTCCTTATTATATGTGCCATTTAATCCACTTTCTCTAGGCACTTTATGATTACAAGGCATAAACATGTTTACTCTAGTCACAATTTTTTTTTTTTGTAAAAAAAGTCAAAGGTCACAGACATCATTTGCCAAATAGCTGACTGGATTGGCACAATGTAGATGCTTTCAGATGCTGGATCTAAAACTAAGGTGTGTAGAAACGTGATGTGCATGTGAATCACTTGCTTTGGAATAGAGGCTGAATATTCAACATAGGCTGAGATTTTACAAGAGAGGTAGCTTTTTGAAAATTGGAGCTTTTAAAACAAAAAGTTTTAATTATACAAAATAATTTAAGCTTCTGAAATAGATAAAAATGACAAAAATAATTTAAACTTTCTTACTCCAATGTCTGAGGTCCTCAGTTCTCACATCATTTTCCAGTTAAAGGAACAAAGGCTCCTTGGAAAACTGGATGGCTTTCAAGCTTGGCCAGGGACTCTACAAGTTGAGCCCCAAATATTTGGGTAGCAGAAAGATGTCCTGAACATACATGTTCACAGAAGTGAGCAAAGGAACACAAAGTCAAGAGCATGAAGAGATGAGACAATGTGAGCAATAAAGCCACATAGGATTGAACACCAAATTATGGAATAAATGCCCATGAATCCAGACCAGTACAAATTAAAGGTTAAATCAATCAGTAAATAGAGAGCTGAACCTGGCGATGATGTCCCATAATCCCAGCTACTCATGAGCTCAAGGCAGTAGAACTACAAACTCAAAGTGTGCCTGGACAACAGGGGCCTGTTAGAGTAACTTAGAGAGATCCTGCCTCAAAACAAACAGAAGAAAGAGCCTAGCATACTTATAGCCTGATTTTAATTCCCCCCAAATAAAGGAACAAATAAATGGAGGAGAAGCAAATCTCTCATGCAAAAGAAACCCCCAAAATTGTTCAAAAGGTCACTGGGGAGATGGGGCCTCAGGAGCTTCTTTATAAGGGAGAAGCCTGATAAACCCACTTTTCCCAGGTAATGAGTAACCACAGTGTAGCAATTTCATGACTTCCATCCTGGAGGGATGCTAGTCAAGACTCTGTAAGTAAACAAACAAACCAAACAGTACTTTTTTTTTTTTTTTTTTTTTGCCAACATCAGGGCTAGGAAAATGGGTCAGTGGGAAAAGCAACTTACTAACCATGAGAACTGAAGTTTGGATCCCTGACACTCACAAGAAAACCAGGCACCTGCTTGTAATCTCAGTGCTTGGGAGGTAGAGACAGTTCTCTAGGCAGAGTAGCCAGATCCCCCAATCCTGAGCTCCAAGTAGAGAGAGAGTCCCTAACTCATTGAATACAATAGAGTGTAATCAAGGAGAACGGCTGTGTTTTGTACGGCCCAGTGAAGGTTCTGGTAGTGATATTTTGTGTTTCAAATGAATGAGATTACTAAGTATGTACCAAGCAAAAGTAAAAAAAAAAAAAAAAAAGCAAGTCATGGATACCAAAACATCAAATCAGGTGCTCATGACCGCCATCAGAAGTCACAGGAAGGCAGTCAGTCAGTTGGAGTGCCAAACTGAGAGCTAGCTCCATGGATGAGCTCTGGCTTTTCATTCCCACCATAGGTATGTTTATTCCATGGGATAATTACAGTTTCAACCTCTGTTGAAAATGCTTTACTCACTAGCTGCTCTCGAGAGCTACATGTTTTTAATACTATCTAATTGTGTGTTGTTTTCTTTTCTCCCCTGTCATAGTTAGGGGGCAGCTTCTTCAAAAAATAAAAGGAAAGAAAGAGAAAAATTGAAGATTAAAAGGGAAAATAGGAAGCACATGAACCAATCACAATGTGGAGATCTTACTGGATACTGAATGAGACAAACTACAAAAAATAAAATAAAATTATGAAACACCAGGAAATTTTAACAAACACTAACAGTTTAATGATATTAAGAAAATATTGATCTTAAAAGGACAATTTTCAGCTTCATATGGAAACACACACACACACACACACACACACACACACACACACACACACAAACAAAACAAAACAGGATAGCTAAAAGAATTCTGAATAATAAAAGAACTGCTGGAGGTATCACCACCCTGGTTTCAAACTGTACTAAAGAGTTATAGTAAGTAGCTGGGCAGTGGTGGTACATGCCTTTAATCCCAGCACTTGGGAGACAGAGCCAGGAGGATCACTGTGAGTTCGAGGCCAGCCTTGTCTGCAGAGCGAGCTCTAGGAGAGGCACCAAAACTACACAAAGAAACCCTGTCTCGAAAAACCAAAACCAAACCAAACCAAAACAAAACAAAACAAAAAAAAGAGTTATAGTAATTAAAAACAGCATGGTATTTGCATGAAAATGGACTTATTGATCAATGAAATAAAATTGAAGACCCAGACATAAGTCCACACACATGTGGATATCT